TATCCCTCTGTGGTATTTCATGTGCAGTTTTCTGAAATCTTATAAGCTTTGAATTTTAGATTTCCATAGCCATATTTTTGTCTCTAGAGAGTTAATATGGCTCACTTAGAATGGCATCTATGAAATACATGAAATGTATTCTATATGTTAATAAAAATTTTTGAATACCCTGCTCTTTCCTCTTAACAACTTGATGATTCACTCTTTTATTACTCTTTTATAACTTTATCAATCTCATGTTTAGCCTCTATCAGATCAACATGTTATTTACAGGTCTTATGGTGTTAATTGTCCTGTCTGGTCATTACTCAGGTCTGTGCCACAGCTGCCTGCCTTATTACCACCACCTGCCCCAGTGCTGTGGCCTGGGCCCTGCTGCACAGCACTCCCAGGCCCAGCCCACAGCTCAGGCCCTGTCGCACCAAGCTGTCTCTATTCCCTGGTAATCTCTCTCTGAGCATGACACTGATACCGTGAATGCATTCAGGAACTTGTGTAGGGCTTCTGCTGTTTGGCCAGTGCTATGCTAGGCTCTGTGAACACAGCCAAGTGGGAGGGGCCTGAAGCCTCGGCCAGCCCTGCATGGTGGCCACAGGCAGCGAGGCATGGACGGTGGCCACAGGCAGCGAGGCATGGACGGCGGCCACAGGCAGCGAGGCATGGACAGTGCCCACAGGCAGCAAGGCATGGATGGTGCCCACAGTGGAGCAATAACCAGGGAATGTGGCTCTCCTGGGCCTTAAGAAGGAAACAGGTGGATTTTTCCAAATGAGAGATTCAAGTTAAAAATAAATCTTCCTGTAGGAAAATCAAGGACAATTAAATAATCAGCATATGCATGACCGTCTTTGTGACACTGAAAGTTAAAAGTAATTATTGTTCTTGCTTGTTTCTGCCACTCAAAGCAATAACCCTCAGCTAACTAAATGCCAAAGGAGATGTTTCCTTAAACAAATAATCAAAAATGCATGCTGACGTGAACAACTTCTGTTTCTCTAATGAAAGTTTGTTGCTCACTCAGATGTATTTATAACTTCACTGCATTTGTTTCACTTAATATGAGCAGCATCTTTTCAGATATTTTTTAAGTGGATGCTAATGAAATTGTGAATACCGTCTGCTTTTAGAATCGTTAAATAATAAGGAATTCATTTTACAGAGGTTGCCAGTCGTTTCTAATGCGAGCTGTTCCAAGCAGAGAGGGAAGACAGAAACCAGGACAGTTTTTTCCTGTTGAATGCAAATGAAAAGTATGACCATCCTGTTTTATGTGCAGCACCTGCTGGCACTGGATTAGGTACTGTGGTACTCTCCGGGTGCCCTTGCCGCCACAGTGCTCACTGTAAGCAGTGTTGAGCTTATCATAGGTGTTGGGAACCAGAGATGCAGCAAATGCAGTTCCGCAGATCTTAGCAAGCAGTCATTGCAATTCTGGCAGAAGGCAGCAGTCCAGATCAGAAGTCATTCAAATGTCCCACCCGTCACGTGGACAGGCCATCTTTATGGTCAGCAGAAAGGAAAGAGAGCTGGAGAAACAGCCCATTGGTTCAGCTCACATCTGCATCCCAGCATGGTCGGAGTGTTTACCCACCTGTGATTGGCTGAAACTCAATCACTTGTTATAAGTAGTAGTTATTTTGCAGTTCACCAGAGAAACTTGACTGTATAACTATTTACGTAAGCAGGCTAAGGCCAAACAATTTTTAAAAGGTTTCCTGTAAATTTATGTTCTTTCTTCTCTTTTGCATCCCCCACTAAGCACTCTTCCTGGACTTAGTGGTGGCAGAATATGGCATTGGCAGCTGAGAGCATTCTCAGAAGAAGCTCGTGTAACTGAGCATTGACTGTGGCTGCAGGTTTACCCAGTGATGACCAGGAATGAGAGGGAAACACTGAACAGCTGTGATACCGGCTGTGACCCCAAAAGGACAAGCAGTGAACTTCCACTACGCTGAGCTCAGGGTAGGCTGAGCTCATTTCAGCTGAATAGCTTCTTTGGAGTAAAATAATAAAATAAATACAGAAAATATTCCCATCCTGAGCTCAGTGTAAGGTCTCTTGTTATTTCAAAGAATAACAAGAAAATAGGTTTTTAGACATGAAAATGTTTCTGAGAATGTTTGCTTTCTTTATTTAGAAAGTGAGAGACCTCTCACGCCTAGCACCTTGGTACACCCAAGAAACACAGAAGCCAAGCCAAGGAGGCAGGCACCATGAGCATCCTCAGGAAGACTAGAGAGGGTTGTCGCATGGCAGAAAACCTCCCAGCCAAGGGGTGTAATCTGGGGTGGAGGGCTGAGTGCTCAACCCCCTGCTGCCTCTTCCCATGGTGATGACCCAAAATTTAATATATGGCAACGTGTGTGGCAACAATATGTGTAGGAACATTTACTAAACAGGATGAGAAGTGGTAAAGACTCAGGAGCCATCTCTGATTCTCAGCTTTCCCACCAGACCAACCTGGTCGACCAGAGCAGGAGGCATACTTTCTTCTTTCTTCTGACTTTTTTTAAATTATTGCCTTTTTCTTGATGTTTCTAGGACCAGCAGGGTGCAAGCATGTAAATACACATGTGTACACACACACACACACACACACACAGTCTACCCACAATGTCTGTAGCAGGAAGGTCAGTGTGAGCTCCTATGTACCACCTGTCAGATCAGCTACCACCACAACATGCCCATGGCAGCACCTGTCACCATACCTAGCTGGGACTGCCACATCCCACAATTGAGAATCACAAGGGTTTGTCCCTCAGAGGAGGCAAACCACCCACACCCCCAGGACTCCACAGAGCAGGCTGGCCCACAGGAAAAGTGAAGACGTGCCGGCTCTCTGTTCTCCAAGGGCTAAATTTCCTCTTGTTTGAAGAGCGTCTTCCTGACGCCCACATTCCCGGTGGCATTATCCATAATAGGCAGAAGGTGGAAGTAACCCCATGTCTGAGGCATAGAAGAACAAGCTATGATCTTTGCACATGATGGTTTATTATTCAGCTTTCAGTAAGGAGGGAATCATATCATCTGCAACAGCATGATGAAGATTGAGGACCTTATGCTAAAATCTGAAAGTAGACCTACCATATGAGCAGCCATCCCACTCCTGGGAATTTGCCCAAAGGAAATGAAGTCAGCATATGAAAGAGTTACTACACTCCCTTGTTTATTACAGCTTAATGTGCAATAGCTAAGTCATGGCTGGAAAATGAAAATGTGATATGCACACACTATGGAATAATACCCAGCCATAAAAAGGGTGAGATCCTGTCTTGGTCAACAAAATGGATACAGATGGGAACCATTATCTTAGTGAAGTAAATCAGTATCCAAAACACAAATAATATGTTTTCTGATATATGACAGTTAATATGGGAAGACACATAGGAATGAACTGGACACCTCATGATGTTATTGTTTTTTGTAAGGTTAAGATGTAATTGAGGGAAGAGGAAAGACTTTTAGGTCAGGCAGAGTTCTAATAGGGCAGAGAGTCTGATGGACTGCTCCCTGGTGGGAGATGGCCTGGGACCACTTCCACATGGCCAGGAGACCGTGTAAGGGCAATGGCCGCCCTGGTTATACAGCACTGGGCTTTTGGACTTGTTAGTGTGGGGGTGGGAGAAGGCAACAGCTCCTTGGTTTGCTCATGCCTGTAGCTCAGGGTACTGCTTATCACGGTGGATGTTGATCTGCATGGAGACGAGGAGAGGATGATGTGTCATTCTAAGCATTCCTGGATGGGAGTGTCCCTTGACTTCAGCAAGGGGATAGAATCACTTCTGCTCTGCCTGCTTTACGAGTTTGTCCATTATAAACCCATTTTATCCATTATATACTACTGTGAAACTGCCGTCTTCTACTTTTGAGTTGTTCAATATTATAGTTGGTGGTAAATTAAGCCTGTGATTATAGACTGGCGTGAAATTATATCTTTGCAGAAACTAACACAGAGAAAGTAAGGAAGAAGGGGAATTGAAGGAGGGAGAAGAAGAAAAGAGAGGAAAGTATGGTTATCTTAGAATACCTATGAAATACATAAAATCCTTTCTCTCTGTTAATATTTTTTTTTTACAAAATTATAAAGAAAAACATGTTCCTTTTAGTACCAAAACTGTGTTCTCTGCATATGATGGAATGTTATTCCGCCTCCAGGAAGGACTGTTGAACCTTGAGCACCTTATGCTGGTGAAATAAACGAGAAGGGCAGACTCTATGGGTCCTCTTGGACAAGGTGCTGCAAGTTGTCAAAATTGCAGAGACGAGTGGAAGAGACCCTGCAGAGGCTGGGAGGGAAGGAGTCTGAGTTTTACCAGACCTCAGGCGTGCAGCAGGGTTCCTTGGCAGGACCAATGCGGCTAACATGGACTTGGACACTTGCACATGCTTTGGGGCTAAATTTATATTGAATCTGTGAATGCCATTAGAAACTGTTAGAAGTTCTACATGAGGGGAAGACTTTCTCAGTGGGAGGAGGTCTTGGCAGTGTGGGACAAGGTGAGGCTAGCACAGTGGTCCTTGAGTTCTCTGTGGATTGTGCTGTTGGAAGCATCACACCCTGAATTAAGACCCCCAGAGGTGTAGATTGTGTTCATGGGATGAACTCCTACAGCCGCAACAGGGCGGGTGCCCGTGGGTCTATGCCTGCCTCACACAGCTGGGTTTATGCCAAGTGATTCCCGAGACCTCGCATATCCCCAGGGTGATTGACCTGACACCTTTTAGTACCAAAAAGAATCACTTCAAATCTGCTTTTAAAGACATGCACGCACATCACAGCTTTGTCATGGGAGTTTAACCTGCTCTTCATGTGCAACAGCAATGCCAACATCATTTTAGAAGGGTTGTGTCTCAGTATGAGCCCCTAGTGGGGACGGATTCGCTGTCCTTCAGCTGTGGACTACGTTAGTGCTTGTTCTGATGTTTTCCAGCATTGTCATCCAGGAACTTGAGAGAATATGCAAAATAACATTGTGTTTTCTCTTCATTCTCTCTCCTAGCAATGCAGCAAAAAAGCTTCAGGCTCCCTCATGTGGCTGCTGAAGTCCTCAGGCATCATTGCCAACCGGCCCTGGCCACGGATCTCTCTCACGGTCATCACCACAGCCATCATCTTGACCATGGCTGTGTTTAACATGGTAAGCCTGGGGCTTAAGCAGGCATTTGGGCCAAGCTGGCGTTCTCCCTTCTGCGGCCCATCCTGGGGAAATTTGGAAGCTTAGTACAGCTCCTTTGTATGAACAGTGGCTGCTATTCCAGTCAGCATCTGTTGGCAGCAGCAGCAACAGTCTCCCAAGAAAAAAGGAAGTTGTCTGGGGAAGGAGGCCCCTTAGAGTGACTTCTCACTCCCTGGCTCCTGGTGACCCCTCAACAGGGTGCAGAGGGACATGGTGTGTCCTCAGGGTCACCAGGAAAGGTGTCGGAGCCATCAAACCTGGGAGAGTGTCCGAGTGAGGGTTCTAGATGTAAACCGTAGCAGCAGACACCTCAGGTCCCCCCTGGCCAGCTACAGGGTTGGGAAGTGGACTTTCTGAGTTTGTGAGGTTCCATGTTCATTTCACAGAAATGCAAGCCAAGTCTTCTCTTGCCAGGTGGCTCTTGGGATTGACCAAGTGGTGTTCTTGGGACAGTGCTGGGCATTTTGCAGAGTCGGGATTCATGGCCACGTGTACCGCGTCAGTATCACCATTACCAGCATGTGCGGACACTAGGGCATCCATGCACCTGAAATGCATCTTTCCTTGTTTAAGATTTGTTTGTTTTTATTGAAAAGGCACATACAGAGAGAAGAAGAGACAGAAAGAAAAGTCCCCAAATGACCACATCAGCTGGAGCTGAGCCATTGGTGGCCAGAAGCCAGGAGCTTCTTCCAGGTCTCTGATGTGGGTGCAGACTCCCACGCACTTGAGCCATTCTCTGCTGCTTTCTCAGGCCATAATCAGGGATCTGAATGGGAAGTGGGCAGCTGGAACACAAATTGGTGCCTATGTGGGATCCTGGCACTTGCACAGCGAGAATTTAGCCACCAGGCCATCATGCCATTTCACAAACATCTTTCTTATCACCCTCCCATTGTCATCCCTCCCCACACTCCCGCACTTTGCCAGTGTTACAGTTGCAGAATTCTATGAGGCCTAGCATTTGCCTCTAGAAGCAGGAAATCAGGCCACACAGATTAGTAAGAAATTAATTTGCATGAGATAGAAGGCTCTCACTCAGCAGAAAAGTCAAGTCACTGAGTGGAAATGTGTGCTGACTGCTCCAGTAGTTGTGCAGACCCAACAACAGCTTACTTTCCGGGAATACAGCAGCAGCTGGGCAAGTCTCCTATGAAGTCGCCTGCAGCAGGCAAGAGGCAGTGACAGGAGTGAGCAGGAGGGGTGCAGTCTGATGGAGGATCAGCACCGCTGGCCTGAGTTCAGAAGGAAGGAGAGAGTTCACTGGATGGAGCCCTGGGAGTGAGGGACAAGAGTGGGGGATGGCAGATGAGGGTGTTCTAGGTCTGACATCTTTGTCTGATTAGGGGTTAGTCCCCTGCAGAATGGTTGCCGAATCTGGCCAACAGGTTAAGTTCCTAGAGAATTCCTAGCTCCCCGAGGACTTTCCTAGACCAGGGCTTAAGCAGAAACCAGCAGGCATACAGCCCGAGGCATATGCTCATTAGGAGCCACGCTGGCTGGTCAGCTGGCCGGGCACTCTGTGTGAAGAGCGCAGAACTGTCACTAGAGGGGACGCCAGAGGGTAGGGAGCAAGAGCTGAGAGACAACAGGGAAGAGCTGTGTGCTTGTCTGCCAGAACACATCACCTGTGCTGCACAGGCAAGGAAGGGAGATGGAGAGGCAGGCAAGGGGCGGTGCCAAGGACTGGGGAAACCTGAATGTCCTTCCGAAAATGAGCTCTTTGCGCTCAACTTTGCAACCTGCATCTGTGCATTAATCCTGCCAGTGAGGTGTCGGCCCCAAGACAGCAGTGACGCACTCGTCTCCCCTGGTCTGGAGGGGATGCTGGGTCAGGGCAAGTGCGTGGCAAAGGGGCAGGGAGTACAGCTGGGTGGCTGACTGCAGTTCTCCACTCTCATCGTACCCCCAAAGGAGTCATGTGTCCAGTCCCCCACGGAAGGGACGGGCAGCCAGGATGCCATGGCAGATGAACTTCCTGCTCCCACAGGAGTATGTCCACATGCATGTGCTCAGGAGAGTCTGCACACCTCCCAACACGCCATCTTGCTCACTTGGCCAGGAGTTACAACACATTTGACTTATGAGAAAGTCCACACACCTAACGATGAAGTCTTTTTTTTTTCTTATATAAATTCTGGGTATAGAACATGTTGCTTTGATAGATGTATATATAGTGAAATAATTACTATAGGTAATTGACACATAGCTACTTATCCATAGTAATTTTCTTTTTTTTTAAAGATTTATTTTTATTATTTTGTTATTGGAAAGGCGGATGTACAGAGAGGAGAGACAGAGAGGAAGATCTTCCATCCGATGATTCACTCCCCAAGTGAGCCGCAACGGGTCGATACTACGCCGATCCGAAGCCAGGAGCCTCTTCTGGGTCTCCCACGCGGGTGCAGGTTCCCAAAGCTTTGGGCCATCCTCGACTGCTTTCCCAGGCCACAAGCAGGGAGCTGGAAGGGAAGCGGGGCTGCCGGGATTAGAACCGGCGCCCATATGGGATCCCGGGCGTGCAAGGCGAGGACTTTAACCACTTGCGCCACCGCGCCGGGCCCCATAGTAATTTTCAAAGCCATCTCTGTGTGTGTGACAAGAGGGAGTCCATAGTCTTACGCAGTTGTCAGCACACAATGCAGTACTAACTGCAGTACTGCTACTGGTTAGAAATCTAGACCCCACTCATCCTATGTGACTCAACCCTGAGCCCTCTCACCTTTCTCTCTCCACTGCCCTGTCTCTGAGCCAGGGGTGGTCACCGTTCCACTAGTTCCATGCACTCAGCTGCCTTTTCTTTATAAGATTTATTTATTTTTATTGGAAAGGTAGATTTACAAAGAGAGATTGGTCTTCCATCCTCTGGTTCACTCCCCCAGTGGTCACAATGGCCAGAGCTGAGCCGGTCTGAAGCCAGGAGCCTGGATCTTCTTCTGAGTTTCTCTCATGGGTGCAGAGCCCCAAAGCTTTGAGCCATCCTCCACTGCTTTCCCAGGCCACAAGCAGGGAGCTGGATGGAAAGTGGGGCCACCGGGATTAGAACCAGTGCTCATATGGGATCGTGGTGCATGCAAAGCAAGGAAACCTTTTGCTTTATAAAAACAGTTTTACTTTATCAAACTAGGACATGTTGCTTAATTTTTTTAAAAATTTGCCTACTATTTAAAAAAACTAGAATGTGGGGGTAGGAGGGAAGGATTGGAGATTGAGAGGGAGAATGAGAAAAGGAGACCCATCTTCTGTGTGCCAGTTCACATTCTCGAAACCCACGTAAGTTAGGACGTGGCCAGGCTGAAGCCGTGGATGCAGGACTCCCTCAGGGTCTCCCACAAGGGAGATGGGGGGCTGAGTGTTTGGGCCATCATTTGTTACAGAAGCAGGAAGCTGAATTAGAAAAGACAAGATTTTATCCTAAGCATTTGTATATTCAATTGCCAGCATGACCCGCTTTGCCACAGCACTGCAAAACACCTCTGACTTAGAAGCAGTGATTGAAAAGTCAGTCACTGCCTTCAAATGTGAGCATTTTTAAGACCCTTCTCCCCACAGCTTCCCCTTAGCAAGAAGGAATCCATCTCCAGGGAAAGGAATGGGTCTGCCAGCAAGGCTTTACATCCCACATAGGAACTTATTGCTGAGGTAGACCAAGGTCTGCAGAAGACACATGCCAAGCAGGATAGATGACCCTGGGAAAGAAATGAAGTGAGATTCTGCTCCCATGCCTTTGGCTTCCTCAGAGGCAGTGGGGCCAGGAATGAGCCTCCAGACTGGAGAACCAGAACCACCTGCAGTTGCTGCCTGCTCTGGCACACCGAACACTCCTTTGGTTGGTATCTGGCGGTTACCATCAGTGGCTCTTTTCAATGCTGATCCTCCTCCCATAACTATGTCAAAGAAAATTTGTCAGACAACATGAAGGCTGACATTAGGACAGAAGGGAAATAACTTTACCTAGTTGTAGAACATTCTTGTCATCTATTATGAATCACAGAAGAGGAAGGGCTTGTCCAGGGAGCTCTCCGTCCTATCATGTTTGAGGACTTATAGGGAAGGGCCTCCAGTTCACCTGACTGCATGTGCTGCTACTGCAGTGTCCAGACTCTGAAAGCAGCCAGCACCTAGGAGCCGCAGGAGCAGGTGCCACCAGGGTGGGGGCAGTCTCCACACACTGCGGCCAGGGACATGGACCACTTGGCCAGTGGCAGCAGCCTGTGTTAGTGCCTTCTGGGTCATCACCTGCCATGACCCCTTTTCCCTCAATGACAGGCATGTATCAGGGATCATGGGCAGCAGCTTGTGGTGACCTCCTGTTGCCCTTGACCGTGAAGATAAGACCTTGCTGACACTCCACAAGGGATTTAACACAGTTGTGTTTCAGGCCTGCACTTTAATAGCCTTACAAAATCCAAAAGGAGTGATGTGACTGACTTCTAAACTCTAATTATACGTCAGTATTAGAGGGCAGAGCATCCGGATCGTATTTAGGATGAATTGTCAGAGTTTTCCGGAATGGTTAAGTACTTGATTCCACTCATGTGACACAAAATGCCTCAGTGAAAAGTTATGCATATTTTTCCCAAACAGAGGTTTTGGTGTTGGATTGCAAATGGCTTTGTGTTTCCTTCAGCTTCAGTTTTGACTGTTACAGATCATGTCTGAGACGCCGGGCCATCTGACACTCTGACAATGTCATCCTGTGACTTCCCACATCTTTTTACAGTTCATTCTGAAAAACAGCCTGAAGTTTGTGATGCGTTACTCAGGCACACAGACAGGAGTTCACTGTGGTTCAGGAGTTTTCTCTCTGGACTTCTGGATGAAGCACAGCATCACACCACGTGCTCATAATTGGATGTGGCCTTTAACATGCAGCCCTGCCCTATTGAAGCTGGCCGGGAGTCACACTGTGAAAACACTGCTGAAGAACGTGAACTCCGTGGCACTCTGTGTTCAGGGCCTCTGTTCAGGGTATTGCCATTCTTTTCTGTTACCAACAAAGGGAAAGAGTGAAGGGTTTCAAGAGTTCTCCAAGGAATTTCACTGCAGGGAATTTCTTCCGTGCAAACAGATGGGGCAGATTCTCTGTGGGGGATGTAGGTATTAGAAGGATCCTGCAGGTTTGGGAGTAGTTCATGCATTTTGACAAGAGAGCGCAGAGGAAGCCTGGAGGCGTTGCTGTGTGTGGTTGCAGGAGTTTAAGCTGCAGTTTCCATAAAGCGCAGTTCTCCTCGTGTACAGCAAGACCTTCACATTGCATGTCACGTATTTACCTTCCCATCGATCTAGTGATATTATCAAGAATCTTCTATTAATTATCTTAAGGTCCTGGGTTTTTAATGCTAAATTAAATGATAAACCACCATACTTAACTGTCTCCTTTTGTTTGTCATTGCTTGATTCTTTAAGATTTAAATCAGTTTAAATTGGGGTTTGTCAAATCTAAATGTGTTTATGTTTTGGAGCCAAATGTTTGCCAAGTAATCAATTACTCCTTCTCACCCCAGACACTATGTTTTCCAAGGAATTAGAGTGTAAGCAGGTGGCTGAGAAGTTAAGGGAAAAACTACATCACAGATCAGAGTGCTTGATCCCCGTCCTAGCTCAGCTTCTGGTCCAGCTTCCCACTGGCATGCACGTTGAGAGGCAGTAGATGACCTGGGCTTGTACAATCCTTGTGAGAAACTTGGCTTGGGTTTCAGGCTTCTGGCTTCTAGCCTGTCCAGTCCTGTCTGTGGCACTGGGGAGTGAACTGGCAGGTGGAAGATAACTCCCTGTGGCCCCTTCTTTCAAATATAGGGAAAAATAAATGAATTAAAAATGAATGTTAACATGTAGTTTATTTGGAGTTCAACTGAGAATGCTAAGCATGCTGACCTAAAAGTTAAAGAAGTCTAGACTCGTTATTCTACACTTCTTAAACTTTTAGGTCAGCATTTTGCTGAAATTTGTAAAGTGCCAAGAACAGTGGAAATGTCGTTTCCAGCATCATTCTTGAAGATGAGATGCATGCTCCCAAGAACATGCTAAATAAATGTATTTATATCAACCTAAGTAAATTAATGTAGGTGGCTCACAAAACCTATGCTATCCCAGGACATAAATCAATAGACATAAACAAAGATAGCCATGAAAATGAAAGGAAGTTTTGCTCCGTAAGCCTGGAGTTTTCAGAAATTAGCACAGCTTTGATAAATGAGATGACTGGCTTTCAGCCCAGAACACCTGCTCACCCAGGTCACAGGTACCTGGTTAGTCTTTCCAGAACATCCCTCTAACCCTTAACCACATGATGGAAGGCTCCCCCTTCGCTGGCGAAAAGCAGGATCGTAATCCTGGGAATGTGGTGAGTTCTTACGTAATGGACACTGCCCTTTAGCATCCAGAGGAACTGTCAGCAGGTGAGCAAGATGGGAGACATTTCATCAGTCTGTCCCTCTTCTTCTTTTCACCCCGTGGAGTTTACACCACAAGCTGTTTAGCTGGCCAAGGGTGACCCCTCCTGGGCTTCAGGACTCAGTTGTGTTCCATGTGTTTGGTTTTAGGAAAGGGAATTAATTTACAGGCAGCGCCACTGGCATGAACGTTTGCATTTATTGTTTGTGAACACTGGACAAATACTGAAGGCTGGCTAACTTAAGGAGGAAAAATTCTCTCAAAAGCTATTGAGTCTTGTAATGTTTTAACCCAGAGGACACAGATGCTGTAAAATTCCTGCAGAGACCCTGATCTCCTGTTGGGGAAGTGGGTATGTATCCACACGGTGTTGTGCACTGGCTGAACCCTCTGCCCTGAGATGGGTACGTGGTTAACATTTAATAGAAGTACTTCCCTTTTTGCAAATATCCTAAAGTTATAGAATTATCTGTGAATTGTGCCGCATGATACTTGCTTGCTTGTTGAAAGGAAATTTCCAAAGCTTCAACTAGGGAGAGATGAAAGCTACAAACACGAAAGTACAGACACTGGCTTGGCCGTACAAACAATTCTGCTTCTTGGGTTTAAGAAACACAGTCGTTAATAAACTTGGCATCCATTCTTTTTTTTTTAATCTAATAATTGCACTGATAACTGAAAAAAATTCTCTCTGCAGTTTTTCCTGAGTGACTCTGAGGGAGTAATCCTTCCAACCGTCAATACTTCCAACACAAGTTTTCCTGCCTCAAGTAATCAGGCAGCGATTCTACGTGCGCAAAATTTGTTTTTCCTCCCGGTAAGATGGCTGCCCTTGCTTCTGCACCTGTTGCTTTGCGCCTCTCATGGGCCTGTGTAAGCTCTGAGATCTCTCTCAGTCTTTGCTTTCCCTGAGCTGGCAGGTGTCAGACCTGGCTCACTGGCATCTCACACCGCCAGGCCACTGGCTGCGTTTACAGACGGTGCTCACTTTAATTCTCTAATCAGGCACAGTTTCTGGTGCTTCCAGCCAATGGCCATTCAGTGACATGACCCTGAATTTCTGGGCTTATTGCTTATAGATTTCGCTAACTGTTCCAGTAATTTAGGATTAGTTATCCCCTAAAAGCTGTGACCACAGAGCCCATATCTGTTTCTGCCCCTTGTTTGAGTACAAATGCTGCCTAGCGATTGTATCCTCAAAGGACTGTCCCTAATACACCTCGTTTAGACAATATCACAAGGGACCCAGATTGAAGTTACATAAGAATGTAAGTGAAAATAGTTAAATTATTTCCTGTAAAACTTCTTTCTTCCATGAATTATTTATGCAAAAGGTAGATTTTTATCATCTCCATTTAATTTCCTGAATAGTTCATCTAAAAATGGCATGCTACAGTACTAGTTAACATCTAGCTCTGAGAGGTGCCATCGTTAGTTCAACATGCATATTTTCAGAATTCCCTTGTAATGTCTAAACTCTCAGCAATGGCAACAAACTATATTTCTTTATGGTTCTTATTTTACTTCCCTGGTGTTTTGCATAGGTCCTCACTGTGTTAATCCTTTGAGAGGATCTCGGTGCTGAGTATTTGTAGGTCTTGCCTCCTGTGTTTGTTCGGGATCCTTTCAGAAGCCATGACTGGTTCATGAGCACAATGACAAGGTCCAACCCAGTGTCCCCATGGGCTTGGGCTAGAAAGGGTAGCCTAAGATGCATCGCATGCATAAACTACCTGCGTGATCCGCTCTTCCCCTCAGCCGATGTGCTTAGCATCCACCTGACTCCTCTGATAGCTCTTCATGGAGAGAGCCTGCTCACCCAGCAACAGAATCCTCTCTGGCACTACTCGGGCACTTGAAGATTTCTTTCATAGGAAATAAAAGTGTAGCTGGCAAACAATGTTTTTTAAATCTCTGCATCCAATATGTTTGGGCAGACTGACTCACCAAGTTTGTCATCTGCACAGGGTCTCATATTCATAATCTCTCCTTTGCCTTATCTTCCCTCCCCTCACCTCTTCTTCCCTCCTCCATTCCTCACCCAATCTACTTCTCTTTTTGTTGTTCCCTCTTTCTTTCAAGGAGATGGGGTGGGGAAAGCAGGTAAAAAATATATATATACTCATTTTAAGAAGCCAAACAAAATGAATTGTAAAGGCTCTCAGCTATGTGAGTGCAGCTGTCACAGTAGGACACTTTCCTCCTTGGCTCACTGGGGAAGCTACCCTCTATAGGTAGATATTCCTGGAATGCCCCGCTTTCCCGGTGAGGAATAAAGGCCCAAAGAGGCTTTACTTAAATCACCCAGGATGGCAGCAGCAGATGGCTTGATGTGAAGTGCAAGTTGATTTCATGAACTATCTCCAAGACATGACTCATATTCATGTTACTAGGGAGATGATGCCAGTAGAGTTGAGTTCTGTAACCTGCCACCTGATTGGGATACTGCCTGACCCCTGCATGCCACTCCCATGATTCTGTCATTTCAAGCTCCTGAGAGCCCCTTCCTTCCTTGTCTTTTTCTCTGTGTTAGAGGGACATGATGGTCCGAATAGTGGGGACTGGCCCCAGATAACTGGGACCAGAGAAGCTGTTCCTGCAATACTCGGTGGCCCTTAGGATGCCTCATAACAAAAGGGCCATCCTGCTGCTCCTGTGTAAGGGAAACGTGTAACTTCCTAGAGAAGGATTCCGTGGAAATCACCAGCCTTCCTTTATAAATGAGATGGTGATGATGGTAGGCACTTACAGAGAGAGAAAAATCTGCTAATATGCGTCCCAAATGTCACAACAATAAGGACTGCATCAGGCCAAATCCAAGAGCTTCATCCAAATCCCCTACATGGGGGCAGGGGCCCAAAGGCTTGGACCTTCCTTTGCTACTTCCAAGGCACATTGGAAGGGAGCTGGGTTGGCAGTAGAGTTGGGACTCTAGCCAGCACTCATATGATATGCCAGTGCTGTAGTCGGAGGCTTAACTCACTGTGTCACAGTGCTGGTCCCTTAGGGTGCCGCTGGTAAGGAGAAAGCTTGCTGTGTGACCACTGCAGCTCGAGTTTCGAACTTCTCTTTCTTTCTCAAGAACAGCATTGGAGAGAGGAATATCAGGAGCCTTGTACACATGTTAGTGCAGAGGACCTCAGCTGAGGAAGTGCAAGGAGCAGCTGGGATGACACAAAGAAGCGATTCACACATGGCTCATTGGATTATGATGAAGCTGAAATTGAGGATCCCACATTGGGATTACTTGTAAAGACAGAGTTTATCCCACATCAATCAGATCTCTCTTTTATTAAAAGTCTGAAATGTTATTGCATGCTGTGTCTCTTCCAGGAATGCAAAGATAGTAACAAAGCCCTTGTTTTACAAAGAACCCCATGTTGCAGCAAATACAGGGAGGCTTTATGAGACGAGCAGTTACTGAAGTCAGTGAGTCTCCTGGCTTATGGAACTCTGTGATCCTCATTTCTCAGTGAGGTACAAGCATGGTGCTATGGCCATGATTTCACAAATAAACACACACACGATGGGCAGCCTAAGGAACTGGCCAGAGCTTCTCCACCTGGTGTGTGACTGAAGCTGGATTGAAACCAGGGCTGTCCATGGCCTGTGTCATCCCATCTGGTAGTGAATGGCGAGAAAATGGTTAGTATAGTAGATATGCCTACAGCTGTCTAGAGACAAAGTCCACCTGCTGCTCACACACGGTTTTCTTGATTAAGTGTGGCATCTGTCCAGCCCCAGCATTGACGCCTCCCTGACCAAAACTTTGTGCTTAAATCCTATTTTAGATGGACATTGTAACACAGTTTCTCTTTGAATAAAATATCCACATTTTCTTCTTCTTTTGGCAGCAATACCTGTAATGATTCATCTCTTCCTAATAAAGAAGTGAAAAGCAAAAAAAAAAAAATCCACATACTATAATTTTTCCTAAATCCCATGAATATATACAAGATTATACTGTTTTTCAAGAACTAAATGACAGCATTATGGTGACATGTCCTTAAGTTTCAGGGTTTTGTTTTTTTTTTTTTTTCCTGTTTTTAAAAAGTGTTTGCAGTACACTCACTTGGCTTCACTCGTGCTGCCAGGCTGGATCACAGAGCCGTGGATCAGACACTGTCCAGCATTCCATTGTAGCCAATGTGTACTGTACATGTATTTGCCACTGAACCCAAGTGGAAATACTAGCATGTGCTGACGTTTGGTCACAGCCACCTTACACCCTGGCTGGGAGAACCCAGAGGAGCCCGTGGTTTTAAAAGAGAGACAAAAGTTCTGGAAGTTCCCAACGAGGGCCTAAGTATTTGCCTAATTTCTCTGTGCCAGTACTTTATCTACAGCTGCGTTCTGGGCTTAATAGCCTGCTCCGTTTTCCTGCGGATAAATTATGAGTTGAAAATGTTGATCATGATGGTGGCCTTGGTGGTCTACAACATCCTGCTGCTCCACACCCATGCCCACGTCCTGGATGACTACAGCCAGGTCCTGTCTGAGAGGTAAGCTGCTTCCTCCGCGGGCTTCAGTTCTCCTGTGGGATGTTGATAAGGTGTGTGTTGAGTAAATATCATGGGTGTGGTCACTGAGGGGTGGTTCACAAAAATGAAGGTGTTGGCCCAATTATAAGTCACCTATATTACATGTCATCAAATGCACTCAGAAGATACCAAGTGGCTTAGAGACAGGATTTGTGGCAATACTCTTTCCCAAATTGATGAACATAATCTAGACTTCTTAGACCGGCACATTGTAGATGGAGTAATTGTTCATTGTAGACTGTCCTATACACTGCATGGTATTCCATGACATCTGACTCCACTCACTAGTTGCCAACTCACAAGAACCAAAAAATGTCCCCAGGTGATCCAGTGGACCCAGGAAAGAACAGCCCTCTGTTGAGAACAAGCATGCTGGGAAGTAAGTGGTTAGTCTCACAATGACAATGTAAAAATTCGTATTAAAAATGTCCCAAGGTAATGTTGTTGGGGAGTGGGAATTATCAGTGCTAGAAATAGGATTCAGTTAACACACCCCACCTTGAGCAAGACTGGACATAAGCTGGCCTTTGAGGTCCCCTTACCTGGGTTGGAGAGAGCTTTCCTGGTACCACACCACTTCCGCACACTTGTCTTGATTTTTCTAGTCCCGGTCATTGCTTTAATCATTACAGGATTCTGTTTTCACTTTACTAGCAAGACATTATTATCTGTTAAGTCTTAGGTTTGTTTTCTGGGTCCGCCAGGCTTTGAAGTATTCTCTGCAAGTCCTTGGCATTCTTCATATTATTTCTGCAGTTCTTTCTGCAAAAACAAGAGCTCTGAACTTGTTTGTGCATGTATTGCTCTGGAAGGTGGTGATGTGAACAGCACGTGGCCACTTCTTGGTTTGCAGAACAATTGTCACCTGGCTGTGGAAATTCCTGCCAGTGACAACACTCTCAGAACCAGAACTGCAGTGCGTTCGCCTTGCCTAATTTAATTCCCGTCATCCCCTACACCATGAAACCCTACTCATCTATAATCAAGCTTGGGGTGGTAGAGTTGCAAAAGCATATAACTGTATTCAAGAAATGTTATGACTCCCTTGCCAAGATGAGAATGAAATCAGGAGTTAATTTTCCAATAAATTCTCAAAGTCATCTGCCAGGCATGCTTACATATTTCCCTGCTGCATCAAGAGAGGCTGTCTTGCATTCCAAAATAAATGCAGGATTACTGATTTTCACACAGAGACCAAGATGCCACTAAATTTCCCTTGATTTAATTTGAAGCGCCGGAATATGGAGCGTACCCAAAACCAAAGAGGAAATCAGATTAGTGAGTTTCTGATGGGGAGAGAATGACTTCTCGGGACCCAAGTGAAGCATTAAGAGCCCTGCGGTCTGTGAGTAGCACCCAAGCAGTGGGATGGTGGACATGAACTTTGCCAAAGGCATTTCCGACTTTCAGATCCGTTTTGTTCTGCCTGTGTAGCTGCTCCCTGGGTTTGTCTTTATAATGCCCCGGAGCCTGGAGCATTGGCATAGCCAGCCTCGATGTCTTGCCTTGATGCCCAGTACCAAAGATGAATTCTCTCCAGGAAAGGGTGCCTCTCGCCCAGTTCCCAGTCTTGGCTGGGAGGTCCTGACTCTTACAGAACCAATCCTTGTGTGAACTGACAAAACACTCCCACATGCACTGCTCCACTAGAACATGAATATTACTCAGCGGTAGCATCACACCTTACTTTCAGTGTGTCATTAGAAATTAGAGTGGAGGCCAGTAGCATCCCAGTACTGGACAATACCTGCTGTGCTGATTCTAACCAAGTGACTCCCAGGCAGGGAACCTCCCTGGAAAAGCATGAGGTGAGCAGATGTTTCTGGATTCTCAGGTTCTTCCAATGAGCCGCCCTGTTGTCTGTGCATATGATGTGTTGCTGGGCTGAGCAATAACCCTTCTGGTTCCCATGTGGAGCACTGTTGGTCTCCCCAGCGCTGGGGAGAGCTGTTCACAAGGGTCACTCTCCAAGTGATATTCCCAAAAGCTGGAAATGCCAGAAGCTGCTTTGTCTTGAGGGCACTTTTTTCCCTGACAGGCTGGCTATGGGATCTGGCATGCAGGTGTTGGTTCAGCCCAGGACTGAAGGTAGGAGAGGCGTATCCCAAGGTGTTGTGGCTCAGGACCCGGCCCTGACTGGCCTCAGAGCCCACTTGAGCTCTTCAGCTCTACAGCAAGGCTCTTCTCTTGTCCTCAGCCATTGAACTCCCCAAGGGGAGATCGGGAAATCATGGGCCAGGGCAGAACACAGGCTGAACTTGCTCTCCCAGGGCGGGGCTTAAAATAGGGTCACTGCTGCTACCGGGCAGGGGCAGGGCATGGAGAGGTGTCCAGCAAGGTTCTGCTGCAGCTCCCCTGCAGAGCTGGGAGGTGGCCGGCAGCTAGCTGAAGCAGCATGCTCCCCCTGACGTCAGTGCCTGTGCCACAGCAGTGAAGGCAGCGGGCCTGCCCAGTGCAGTGACCGCTTGGGCCAGGAGTAAGTTACTGATGTCTGCCTGGTCCTCTGGGGAGGTGGGCAGTAGGGTACAATCACATGAAAGAGTGAATGAGAGTGGGTGCAGCCCAGGATAAGAGCCGGAAGTACTTTCACAGGTGGAAATAACTTGCGGAAGTCAAGTTCCCACTGTGGTTTTGCTGCCTCACGTGATTCGTCATTTTAGATATACTGTTTCTTTGGGAGAATGGTAATGAAAATATTGAAGAAGCTCATACCCAGTTTCCCGGACTGACCCCGGAAGTACAAGGACGAGGAAGGACACCAACACTGTGCTGCTCTGTTCTCCATATTTGCTGCAGCTTGACAAACAGAAGTCCAAGTACTTTTCTTCCCACTGGGCTCTCATAGTAGAGACTTTTTTGGTTTCATTTGGATGCAGTGTGGATTTGAGCACACGCTGGCTGGGTGCAGTGTAGACACACTAACGACAAGTGGGCTGTGTGTTGTTTTGTTGTCTGGTTTATTTCCCCCACAGGCCAGGCATTTGGAAAGACCTTAAGACCATGGGCTCAGTATCTCTCTCCATCTTTTTCATCACTCTGCTGGTCCTGGGAAGACAGGTAAGAAGGTTTTTCTGTACAGCACTTCTCAAGGGCTGGTGATTAATGCTGCACCTCTGTGCCTTCCGTTCCCGCACACAAAATTACATGAGTCACAGTCATCATCTGCCCTACTAGGAAAGGGCACAACACAAGCCCAAGGTGCTTAGAAACCAGAAAAGAATAGCCTCATTTTTTTCCACACGAAGCAAACATTGGGAATGGCAGAGACAGGCATCAACTAGCCTCTTGTTTATTGAATCTTGAAATACATTTTTTGGTTTTGTCAGCCTGTGGAAGTGTTGCCCCATAGTTTCCTAACAGCAAGAAGAGTGTGCCCTTATCTGGGTTTGTGTCCGCCTTGCAGGATGTAACGCTAATGACTGATCATACAACCCTGTCCTCAGAAATCCCATGTAGTGGTTTGGCTCCTCCTTCTGAGGCCTTTCCCCACCCGTGGTCTCCAAGTGGACACTGTGGGCATAGATTCTCAGGACAGTTTTCTGCCCTACTATCCACAAAGCCATTGCCCCAAGACCACTGGGGGCTCATCAGAAGCCAAGCAGCTCTGCCCCAGGCAGTCTGTTAAAAGTTAGGACGGCAACAACCCAGTGATTTATTTGGAAACAATGCATGAGGAAGCATTGCTGATTGTGTTGAGCACACACCACGAAATGGTTGAGGCAGGCATCCAGCAGCCACACTGAGGAAGCAATTCTTCTGAACGGAAGCCACAGCACTGTTGGCTGTGCTAAGATCTCATCTGTGGCTGGAACCTTCAGCAAGCTGGAGACCTCTTTCTATAAGGGAGGATGCCTGTGCTTAGGCACGTTCAGAGGGTTAGCCCTCCCAGTGGGTCAGACTTGAGATAGTCTGAGCAAGAATCCCACGCCACCATGCTATGCCTCAGCCAGCGGCCCCTCCTTCCCCCATGTGCTGTTTTCAGAGCTGACAGAGCCCTGACCATCCCTGGGACTCTGCTAGATGCAGGATTCAGTAGCAAGGGCTGCAGGGGCCCAAGCTGACTCTTCCAAGGGTGGCTCTGCTCTCTCGGCCAAGTGCCAATGGAAGACATGGAAAGCAGATTTCGTGTCTCTGCCTGGGATCTGCACCTGCACATAACTGTGGAATGCTCCCACACAGCTGGAGGCCTGGTGGCAATCCGGGGCATGGGGACTCCGTGCCAGCCTCAGGCAGGACTGTCCCCCTTGCCCAGCCAGCCACTCAGCTCCTGGTTTTGTCCCTAAGGGGCCTTCCCCTGTGTCTCAAGGTCATATATCCCCTCTCCTTTCTCTTAGGAAGACTCACATCAGTAGTGTTAGGGCTCACTTTGAGCCCAGGAAGACCTCAGCCCCAAATCCTTAGTGCAGCTGTATCTGTAAAGAACCTGTTTCCAAAGAACATCCCCTTCCTAGGTACCGAGGGCTAGGACTTAGAAGTCTCTCTGAGGGGACACTGCTCAGTAAGACTTGGAGCTGTCTGATGGGATGCTGCTCAGCCTAGTGTAATTGCTCAGGCATGGAAACAGGCTTCTCCTGTGGAACTTGGCCCCGGAGTGTCTGAATGTACAGCTACTTACCCTTAGAGGAGAGGATTCTAAAACAGCTTGCCATCCTTGAACAGGTGATGGACAAGCTAACAGGCAGGTGGATGGTTTGACCAAATGTCACTGTTGTCCACAGCAGCTAGTTGCCAAGTATTATTTGTCCTAGGAATCTTACAAATGCTCACTCAGGCTGCAGCAGTACTGCCAGACAGATGGTCTCTGGGACCTCCTTAGCACATACACAGGGTGCTTGCCGCCTTACCTGGTCACTGCCTTATTTCCTGGTGTTCAGGATACCCTTGTGTCTGCTCAATGCTGACCCCCTGATGGCTTCTGTCCTTGGAGTGTAATTCCTGCCACACTACTGTTTTGTTCCTAAAATATCCAGATAAACCAACAGTCCTCCAAAGAGGAAGTAGAGATGAGTAAATGCATGACATGACTTCCCTGAGTACAGAGTGCGGTAAATTTGGCGTTAATATGAACACTTCTAATACAAACAAAGACATGCTTTTAACGATCTTTTACAAATGCCTCACAGCACAATATAAAACCCATGCCACACTAGAGGAGAGATCCTTCCCTTTGAACCAGGGAGTGATCACTGTTCCTTCAGGTTTCAGACTGTTTCCTGGAAGTGCTGTATGTAAACAAGAGGCGATATGTGTATGTGTGTCTTACTGTACCTTGTGCTGTTGTTCATGTGGTTAACCAAGCCAGAAACAAACAGAAGCTCTGCAGGCAGCTCTTGTGAGCATGTATTTGTCAGTAGGGTATAACTGGTGCAGATGGCACCCCACCCTTCAAGCCCTTCTGTTACACATTCACTCGGGGCATTCCCTGCTATTCAGTTATTGACATCATAGCAGTAACAAAACAATGCCAAGAGCAACATTCACTGGGCTTCTCCATTTCTCTTATGTTAGAATAACTTGTTAAAGAAACACTGCATTTTGATCCATTATGAAGCATGAACATACCTGCTTTCCTGAGCAGTCACTGTCTTAATTAAATGGCACCAGAATGAGCTTTTGTCTGTATACCACGGTTTTCTCTAAGTAGGCCACAAACCAAGTGACAATATCTATGTTCAATAGTGAATATTTAATGATGCAATTTGCAATAGCAGAAAACCAATTTACAGATTGTAAAGGCAAACCGCTGAGACATACACTGTTGATTTCCAAGTGCATACTGCCAAACTGCGTGCTGTCTCATCTAGTGTCTTTTTCATTTTCCACTTAGTCTCCATTTATATCCTACTATTCCCTTGCCTTTTAACAATTGATTCCAGTCATGTTTTGCTAAAATAACTATGCAAGAAGCATTAGTGGTTCTTTGAGTTATAACCCTCCAACATAGTGGGTTCCAGCTCTTGAGACTGCTCGCTTCCTCTGCAGATCCATTTTAGAGGTCATTGGAAGGGCTTCCTTCTGTTGGGGGCTCCATTTACGGTTTTGTGTTGTTCCTGATGTTTTCTCTTTAAAGCCTCCACTCTCTGGCAGGACAAGATGCCTACTGTTTCTTTACCTCTGTGTCCTCTTGTAACAGAATGAATATTACTGTAGGTTGGACTTCTTGTGGAAGAACAAGTTCAAAAAAGAGCGGGAGGAGATAGAAACCATGGAGAACCTGAACCGCGTGCTGCTGGAGAACGTGCTTCCAGCCCACGTGGCTGAGCACTTCCTGGCCCGGAGCCTGAAAAACGAGGTCAGCCCAGGAGGGCAGGGGACTGGGGGAGGGAACTGGGACCAGGGATCACCAGCAGCTGGGAGAGGCAGCTTGAAGACACCTGAGTGTTCAGTGTGTCCACGACTGACCTGGGGTTTTCAGTTTGCAAGACGATGTTGTCTGATTCCAGGCACATACCTTGAGGGTAATGAGTTACAATCACCTCTCAGAGTTTGAGCAGAGAATTCATTCGTCCCAGAAACTTCTCTCTCTGCATTACACGGCACCATCATCCCAAATATGTCCCAGCAGTGACCACATCGTCTCCCAGCAGCACCTTCACCTACACATCCTCACACCTGAGGTCTTCCAAACAAATGCTGCGATGGACAGGATATTCTAGTTTTCCACACAGGGACATACTAAAGCCTTGATTCTGGATTGGACTGGATGGATGGAAGTGGAAATTTCCTAACATATTCATAGGAAGGTGCATTTAGCTGGAGTTGAAGACAGTCCAGTGTTGTTCCCTTCTGAAGTGGGTTGTGAAAAGAAATGTCTTTGATATGGTTGCAGTGCAAGAGACAGCATATGGTATACAGCCAGGCTTCATTTTATGAAGCATTTACTGAGCACCCACTGTATGCAAAGGCTTATGCCCAGGACCTTGGAGCTTCAGAGATGGCTGAAACTTGTTCTTAGGTGATTTTCACCAAGACTCAGGAAGCAGGGGACATGCTGATGGAGGACCTCATGGGTAGTCATCAGGAGGGCCGGGCTAGGGAGAGAGGAACTGGAGCCATGCAGTACAAGCTTCAGCCTCAGCCCCCACCTTGTCTATACCCATGAACACGAGTGGCTACTTTCCAGGCCTAAAGCTCAGTGTCTCTATCTGTTCAAGGAGAAAGGTGACTTGCTTGCAAGTTGCATCAGATTCTGTGGGGTGTGTGATCAGGGCAGTCTCCAGGTGAGACAGGCAGGGCCCAGATGTGCACAGGTGGGACATTGGGAGGCTGTGGTAAAACATCAGTGCTGGCCACCTGCTATGTGCCAAGGACCTTCCTGTCTTGGCCCATCTCCAGGGTGCTTCTAAGGCACAGTGAGGTTTCCTTCAAAGTCTCCTGATGAGCATCATTGTTCTGAGAGGGCCACCTTGTCTTCACTGCCCAGGGAGCCTTCTTGGGGTCTAGCAGCTTGGGTGGTGTGTGTCAAGATGCACGGCTGAATACAAGCATCTGGTGGAACCTGGCTCTATCCCTGCCTCTGTGCCTGGATGGTGTGGGAACTTCTCAGGGACAGAGAGGGGCACTGGCCCCAAGCTGTGACCCCGAAGACAGTGGTGGGGACACCTGGCCTCCAGGCATCCACCCAAGCAGCCCTGGTCCTGCAGGAAGAGGGGCAGCAGCTCAGTCTTGGGGCTTCACATGCTCTTACTGACACTAACAGGCATACTGAGGGTTTCTGGTTTTTGCTTAGGTTCCAGGGGTTCCTCGGTGTGGTTAGTTTTGCACTGTCAGCTGCTGGCCTCACTCAGGAGGGCAGAGCGAGGATTGTGGATAGTAATTTCAGGGGTGTGGCACCCAGGATGTACTGGAAAGGATCATTTCACTGCGTAACCTGTGGGCTCAGGGTTCCCTTGACTGTGATACCCAGGGCTCAGCCACCACTTCTCCTTGGTGACAGCAGGTGGTATGGGGGCGGCTGCATGAATAGTTCCTGACTTTGACTTGGGAACAAACTCTGGGGCAGCCCTGAGTGCAAGTACTTCATGCTGTCTGAAGACTGTGCTCACAGGACAGTCGCTGTGTGGTCACCAAGGATCAAACAGCTGCTGTGGGAAGCTTCTGTTAGCGATGAGCTCCACAGAGAAATCACCGAGTTCAGACGTAGGCCACACCAACAGGGCTGGGCCAGAAGGACTAAGGCTCGTCTGGTGGCTGGAGGGGGTAGAAGCTCCCATAGTGCATTGCAGTGAAGGTGGATCTTGTTTGGGGTTTTGCTTTTTTATGAAAATACTACCTGCTCTTGTCAAGTGACTCATTTGAAGAAATGTTCAAAAGCAAACTGCTGCCCTTTTATGGAGTGGCTTCTGTGGCAGTCTAGGCCTCCATCCTCCACCATGCTCATCTGTAGATGGAAAAGCCCACATCCTCAACTCACCAGTGGCATCCTAACCTTGCAAGTGACATCAGCCCACCGTGCAGTAGTGACAAGGACATGTGACCATTTTAAAGACTTCCATCTCCTCTGCAATCTGCTCCAACAGGAGCACTGTCAGAACCCCCTTCCCTCCCAAGGCTTCCCTGAGCCTCAGCTGTTTCTGTTGACCTTGTGCCTGCAATGGAGTCCCTTCCAGTGGAGTCGGACTGGTACTGCTGAGCATGCTGACGCCAGAGACCAAGAATAGCGTGTCTCCAAGTTCAGCACCAGCTAGCCATTCCTGGATCCCACATGGAACCTCTGCCACCTGTGTGGTCACCAAGGATCTGGTGACTGAGTAGTTGGCATGAGCCTCGGCCTCAGCCTTCTCCCAGGTACCTGCTGTGTGCAGCAGTCCATGTGAGGCTGCCTGAGCGTTGCTGGTGTGCACAGTCCCATGGTTGTGTGAGCACACTCCCTGATCTCGGTAGAACTTGGGGATCGCTGCCCTCCGAGGACGTCATCAGACTCTTTTGGAGAAGACTTCCTGCTTTTCAGGGAAAGAATGGAGACCAGAAGCCAAAGTAAACATTTTTCTTCTGGGTCTGGAATGTGATGAAAAAGCATGCTGGGCAGGGGATGCTGGCTCCTCCCCGCCTCTCCTCTCTCCCTGGGTGGAGGAGATAACAGGGCAGACAGCATGGGGACAGTGGAGACGATGTTCTCATGGTCTGTGGCATGCACCATGAAATCCCATTTCCAGATAATTTCCTGGGATGCCTTTCTCAGACTTCTAGAAATAGTCCAGAGAAATTAGATGTTGCAAAAGGAGTATTTTCTTTCCCTCCCTGAGATCAGCTTACACATGCTCATCTCTGACTTAGCAAGTGACATGTGTCACACATAAACAGGATTGGGGATGTTGCCATCTGAGAAGGGCTCCAGGAAGCACCAGGGCCTCCTGCACCTCTCCCTATGCCATGGCCTATGCCATAGGTCCAGGGATGCTTCGGAAGCCCACGCCCTGGTTTCCTAGAACCATCCTGGGAGAGTGGTGTGATGGAAGCCATGACCTGCATTGACAACCTGCCGGCAGCTCATGTTTCTTCTCTTTGCTCCCCTGATGTATGAAAGTTGTGGATTTCCCTTTGGAGTGGGTGACCAAGTCACTTCAGCAGCCAGTTCCACAAAGCTTTCATGGAGATGAAACAGTTCAGTCAGTCTCGCTTGGGCACATGGGAGTGCAGGAGCCCAGCTTTGCAGGTGCCTGCCTTCCTGTCTGAAGGGGCATCTGCTTTCCTGAAAACTTCCTGGGGTGATTAAGATGCTGGTTAGGAGGAGGCCAGCATCCAATATCAGAGTGCCTGGCTTCCATTCCTTGTTCTGGCTCCTGCTCCCAGCTTCCCACCAATGTAGACCCTGGGAGACAACACTGAGAGCTCCAGGGTTGGGGTTCCTGGATTGGATTTTCAGCTCTAACTTAGTCCTGGATGATGCAAGCCTTTGGGGAATGAAACAGCAGTAGAAATTGTCCCTACTTCTCATTCTGTTTTTCAAATACTACTACTGCTAATAAAAGCTAAAGTTTCTCCATGAGCCAGATGAAGCCCACCCTGCTGGTACATGTGCTTGGCAGAGTAAGTCCCACACCAGCCTGCTGTTTCAGAAATCTGCCCTCTCCATGCTGCAGGCAGAGCTGTCCTGAGAAGCTCTTCAAATAGATGTCAAAGTTACTCTTCATCACTGGCTGAGAAAATTGAGTTTTGTCACCCAGTCAGTCCTCTGCAGAATGCCCAGGGCCATTGGGATGATGTGGGACTTGGAGTCGGGCAGCCTCTTTCAGAGAGAGCCCTGGCTGAAACAAAGCAAGGCAAGATGTCCAGGGAAAGCACTTGGCATGGGAGTAGTGCCTCCTCTCCTGCTCACCAGGAGAACCCCCACCCCGAGGATAGAAGGAGTCTACAGCAGACAGGACAGCTGGGGACTGGGAAAAGCAGTCCTGATTGCAGAGCGTGTGCCAGTCACAGCCCTGGTGGCAGTGCTGGGCATTTCTAGAACATTCCAGCTTCCACCAGCCTGAAAGAGGAGTCTTGGGCATCTCTGCTCTTGGAGAAAGCAGTGTTGGTGTCACTGTGTGGCTAGCACCTGTGCTTGCTCTCTTACCAACTAAACTGTCTATACCTGAAGAAAGGGCTTATATGAAGTCTGGCCCACTCAGGCCCTCTGCTGTGTGTGTGTGTGTGTGTGTGTGTGTGTGTGTGTGTGTGTGTGTGTGTGTGTGTGTGTGTGTGTGTGTGTGTGTGTGTGGTGTGTGTGTGTGTGTGTGTGTGTGTGTGTGTGTGTGTGTGTGTGTTGGGGTATAGGGGTCAGGAGAACAATCATTCCCATCCTGAAGTTGGAAATGGAGGTCTCCCCGATAGTGCTAGCTTAGTGGGCCAGGATCACCCCACCCCACCTGTGTGCTGTGATGTGGGTTTCAGAGTAGCCCAGGAAGCATCCCCAGCTCGGGTGCAGGTGAAGGCTGGGTACTGATGCAAGGAGATGTCAAGGGCAGGGACTGACAGAGCAACTCAGCTTTAGGAGCACTGGGGGCAGAGGTGGCTTAATTGGCTGTTGCTGGTTTTAGTATTGATCATCTCAGATCTGCATTGGCAAAGCTCCCTGGAGGGCTTAACGGATTCCAACAGAAAACGAGATGACCTGAGAGAGTGGTGATGAGTAAGTGAGCCCCTGGGCCTCATCAGGAGATGGTCAGTGCAGGGCAGGTAAAGGGTGCGTCTAGGACTGGGTGAAGCAGTGGGCAGTATCCTGCAAGCCCATAAGGATGCCCTGAGATACCCACTTAACCCCAGCACATGCTGGAGGAGGTAAAGTCAAAGGAGCAGCACTAGATAGAAAAGGAGTAAAAGCCACCCAGGCTCCTTCCCACGCACAGAGCTCCAGGCAGTCTCAGCTGCTTATTGGGATGGACATTTGGTTATGGAGAGGAGGAGTCTGTGTGACCCTAAGAGCCAAGAAGTGTTGCATGTTTTCATTCCGGGTGGGGAGGAGCCAGCTGCGCTTAAACTGCAAGGGACAAGGGCACAGAGATGCAGGTGCACTGTGATAACTTGGCTGATCCTGGAGCTTGTTTGTACAGCCACACATGAACGGATATTGGAATAACATGTGAGCTCACTTTCAATGTCAGTGATATTTTGAGGTGCTGTGTGCTAGATCATAAATTCCAGAATCTTCCCACTGGCTACCCACCCTTCTTACCTCAACCCCTAGATCCTCTGATGGTTATCAGGCCAGCTGGGGTCATCTGCAAGTCTGCTGGTGGTCCTCTCTTGTCCCAGACTCAATCCAGAGACTCAAGGAAAGCTCTTGTGAGTTTGAAGCTTGGGGAGGGGTCCTGCAAGCTTCATTGGCTCAAAATAATCTGAAAAACACAGTTTTCTCTACTTGTCACAGTCCTGGGAAGACTCTGAATCCTGGAACCAGAGTACCTATGGTTGAACTCACCGCGGGCTTTTTCCCTAGATGTTCCAAGTGGCCAGTGTGCCGGAAAGGAAGGGTGTTGCAGCTCAAAGCCCTTCTAGAGAAGGCAGAGGTGTGTCCTGGCTCCTCCCAGCCAGTGGAGAATTATAGTAACTCTGCATCCCCACTTCCTGATTAATCTCTCATCATTGAGGCTGCACAGCAGGTAGCCCATGGAGGCTGTGGAAGTGAAGGAGGTGCTTGGTACCCACCGGAAAGGCGGTGCAGCTGGTGAGTGGGAGGGTTCAGGTGCTTGCCTTCTTCGAAGTCCCATTGGTAATTCTTCGGTGCACTCTGGTTTGACAACTATGAAATTAAGATGACAGCCCTGCAGGGTTCCTTTTGGGACCGTGAGCACATGTAGAATCTTCCAGGAGCTGCCCTTCCTCCCATATTGAGGGGCGGGGATGCATTCCTTGTGGCCCCTGTCTGAGGACAGTAGGTAATTTTATGTCACAGAAAAGTCATCAGTGCCACACTGGCTGTGCCCTTTTGCCCTAAGACTAGGGAAGTCAATGGAGTTTGTGGTACTTTTGCAAGACTCTACTTTCAAGTGGCCCCAATGGTTACCTCCTCTTCACAGGGAAGAAGTTCCCCTCACTCTGGCTATGGTCATGTTCCTGAAACCTAGCCTTGGTTACCACGTGGATCATAGGATGTCCCCCAGGAGTCCACATGTGCAAAAAGATCATTCTGCATAGGGAGCAAATGCAGGTTTGGACAGCCAGCCAGCTCAGTCCTCATGGCCACAGAATAGAACAGGAGATCTTCATTGTTTCCATTGTGGAAGACAGTGGAACTGTTGTGGCTTTTGATGGGGTTTCCATGGTCCTCATGAGTTCCTTAGAGGGCTCCCTGAGGAAGAACAGTCTCGGGAAAGGGGTGGAGGTCTTGCTTCCTACCAGGGTGTTCCAGAGAACAGAAATCACTGATGATGGCCACTTAGGATCAGCTCCCTGGCTTGGCTGGACCCACAGAGCACCCACTTCTGGCATTTTTGCTGATCTCAGAAGTCTGGCATCTTGTGAACAGGAGTCTCCTGGTGGAGTGAGCAGTTTCCATTCTGCACTGAGTCTGTGATGGCCCCCAACTCATCTGGCTGCCCCTGGCCAACGCAGGGCCCTGAGAACCATATGCCTTGTGAAGGCAGATCTTCTCTATCATAACCAGTCTCCATGTCCACCTCATATGCCTCCACTGCTGAAACCTTCACAAGTCCTAAGGTCTTACCTGTCACATCCCAAAGGAAACATCTTTTGTGTTTCCAAAACATTGAATTTGTGTTTCCAAAACCTTGCAGTTTGATTTATAACCATGGATGAAGAACTTAGAAGCATGTCCTGACTACTGATTGTGGGTGTCTGATGCAATGCGATATGAATGGGTGGCCTGAGGAACTCCATCCGTCCTTTCTAGTTTGATCAAAGAAATCACTGGGCGAATTTTATCTGCTGCTTTCAGACCTAAAAAGGAAAATGCCCCAGAGTCCCATTCTGAGTGTAACCATGACTCATTATTTCAGGGTCATATAGTAGCTTGGGAAATTTTATTTCCCTTTGGTTGGTCAAGGATGCCTTTCCCTTAGCTGGACGTTGCTCTCTCGTAGCTGCTGAGGTAAAGGTGGCAGAGAGGTGCCATCCTAGAGTGCCTCCTACCAGCAGCCAGCTCCTGTGACCTGGCAGCAGCCATGGGACACAGCATCTGGCTCCCTGGATGCCTTCACCTGCCGTTAGTGGCAGGGAGAGTGAGGCACTTGGGCAGTTTCTTTAGCAATCCCAGCTTGAACCTTTGCCTTTGGAGTGTGCTCCTGAAAAGGGTTCCCTGGAGCTTAACATCTCTGTTTCTCTGGGTAGGAGCTGTACCACCAATCCTACGACTGTGTCTGCGTCATGTTTGCCTCCATCCCAGATTTTAAAGAATTCTACACGGAGTCGGATGTGAACAAGGAGGGCCTGGAGTGCCTGCGGCTCCTGAACGAGATCATTGCCGACTTTGATGATGTAGGTGCCCTGAGCTATGCTAGAAGACCATGGAGAAGGCTTAGTCTCTGACCCAGAGGTCCTTATGCTTTGGAAATTAATTCAACACAGTGACATATCTTAAAACTGGTTCTTTGGCCTGATTGCTCATGGCTGGCATTAAAGTCCTGTGCTCTAGTGAAATCCACGGCTAATATGGGGCAGTGTTTTTCTTTCTGAAATTGATATGACTAACAAGAACAGCCACCAGAATATGTTCAATAGTTATGCAGTGTGTTGGTGAATTTTATTTTCTAGAAAAGGTAGACAGGAAAGATACTTGATGAGCACAAAGATAAGCTATCTCTTGCAATAAATTATTGCATGTCTGTGCATTCCACAAGGTCGAGGTCAGTCAGCAACTTGAACTATGTGTGAAGAGCATACTTTGTTATTGACCAAGCAGTAAGTATGTGACAGAATGCATCTTAGTTTTGAAGGACAAAACATAGGTTTTAGAGCTTGAAATTGGAGTCATTTTCAAGCTTCAATAATCTGTCCACACAGAAAATAATATCCTCTTTCTAGTAAGGGCAAACGCACCTGTGGTTGTAAAGGCATTGTGGCAACACTTGTCGCTGTCATGAAAAGTGGAGAAAAGACAGCATCCGTGGGCATGTGTGCCAAATGAGTCATGGAGAGCTGGCAGCGAAACTGAAATATCATGGTTTCAGGTCATTTTTCTAAAGGGCTTATGATCCCCATGCATTCTTTTCTGCTGCTGGTTTCTCCGTGAGATATTCATGCTGATTTCAGGGCAACCAGAGATTGCCACTGTGATACCGGGACCATAGTGGAAATTGCTTTAACTGCCCCTTCAGTAAGAGGAACATTTGCTAGGTCTAATGGGTGAGGGGCAATGGATGTGTAGGTATAAGAGGAGGATTTGCTTATCTTGCTTAAATTATTTAACATGAAATGTCAAAAGTATCTTCTGTAAGAACTGGACAGTGAGATAGAAGAAAACTTACACTTCTAGTCTTTAGTTAGTCTATTCATTTGAGCCCTCCTGGCTTCTTGGGCATGCATAGAACCTTCCAGAGTCCCCACAGAGCCTACTCACACTCCTACATCTTTTTCCCAGCAGGAGGGCTCAGGCACTATACCAGGAACAGGTCCTGTGGGAGGCTGGGACTCCAATGGGAACCTCTGGTTGGGCTGATGCAAAGAGCCATTTTCAGATTTGTATTTTCTATGCCTCAGACTCCCTAAGAGTCGATGCTGGTGCTCAGCATGAATAACCATTGGTCACAGGTCACCGTACCATGAAGGGAAGACCTCACTCAATGGATCATCATTTCACATTCATGCCCTTCAAGCACAGAACTGGGAAATTGATGGAATGCCCCATCACTTGCAGCATAATGTATGCTACATCCCTCACTAGCAAAGCCTGAAAGGCAATTCATATCCATTTGTGCTAAATCTTTATCCTGTGCTTCCTTCCAAGGACACTCTCTTTGTGAGATGCATAGAGCATTCTGCCCCAGCAAAGCCCAAGATCAAAGGGTGACTGCAATGATGCAGAAGAGTCCTGTTTGAATCACCACAGTGTCTCTGCAAAGTGTTAGGCGTTGGGCCAGTGCTCAGTTGTATAACTGTGTGATGGCTATTGCTTTGCAGCTGCTGTCCAAGCCCAAATTCAGTGGAGTTGAAAAGATCAAGACCATTGGCAGCACGTACATGGCAGCGACAGGACTGAGTGCAGTGCCCAGCCAGGAGCATGCCCAGGTAAGGATGCATTGGCCCACCCAACCATGCACAGGAGTTCTGGGTCATCCCTGGAGCCAGAACAGCCACACAAGGACCCAGAAACCAGAGTGTCACTCAGAGATCAGTGGCTGTGAGCCTGCAAGCAAAGATGAACATTCCCCAGGGCCTCTTTGGGGCAACAGGCCTCTTTGCTGACTTCTTTCTGCTGCTGGACAGGAGGGAAGAGGTGGTCAGTAGTGGCTTGATTCCAGATGAATACACAATGTAGTGGGCGATGAGAGCTGATTGGAAGGTTATTGGTAAGAACAATTCCTGCTCTTTGAATTTAAAACAGTGTCAGGGACACAAGTTAATCACATAGAAATGTGGTTGGAAAGTAAAGTTTTGGCAAAATTGCATACCGTGTGTGTGTGTGTGTGTGTGTGTGTGTGTGTGTGTGTGTGTGTGTGTGTAGACACTTGCATGTTCTATGCCCAGCAACACCAAGCTCTGTCCACTTTTCAGGTAGGAACACCCACTTCCTGCAGTCCAAATGCATGTTTGAGTCAGTGATAACACATTGTGCCATTTGACAGAGAGGAGATTGAGAACCAGAATACTTGGGGGAGCTCCATCAAGGCTGTCCTGCTGATGGCATCAGCTTCTCCCACATGAGCTGATTCCTCCAGCGTGAGCTCTTCGTGCTCACCCAGGAGATGGTGGAGGTGCCCCTGGGAAACACTAAAGTCTAACCACACTTCCCCAGAGCCCCAGGCAGAACAGAGGCCCCTTAGAGCACAGTCCCACGTCCCCTTCCACAGGAGACACTGAAGGGTTCAAATTCTAAAGGGTTTCTAGCACAGAACACAGTGGTGGGCACAGCACTTGGTACCGGGTATGCTGCTAAACAGTCATGTGGGCTACAGAATAATCTCAATAAGCATGCATCTACTGCAAGCAAAGACTCTGGAGCAGCTTACGAAACAACCAGCTTGCAGAACACATTCTAGGGAATGGAAGGAGCCATTTGCACATGTAGCTGGAGGTCAGCTAAATATTTTGAGAAAGCTAACAAATTATTTGCATCATGGGAGAAATAGCTGCTTTGTCCTACCATCAAATAATTACCAAGAACTCAATCTTATCACACTTTCAAAATGAATTGAGTTCTTTGAGAGACTGAACATGACTTTTTTTCCCTAAGGTTTGCTAAGCCCAGATGAGTTTCTGATGTTAGATTTAAATTCCATTCCCAGAACCCAATCTTTTATTTCATATGAGGTTGCTTGAAACCTCTAGTTGGAAATCAGTGCTTGAGAACAGATTAGGCAATAATTTATCAGGGAGAAGAGTCCTTTATTGCATGCTTGCTTGGAAAAATAAACAGGCTGTTTCTCCATGGCCAAAAGGCACCTGCAAAAGACACTTGTAACATTTATGTCACAAGGCTCTACTGGTTGATCTAACAGGTGTATTTCCTGTTAGGGAGCAAGATGTTTTCCAGCCAACTACAGAAGTCTCAATAGAAGTTTCCCCCACAGGTCACAAGTTACTGGGTAGGCACCACCATTCTTCAGAGGTGACTCTTTGCATTACCACCCACCTGAGCTGACAATGAGCCTTTTCCAGAATGATCTAATTAACCAGTAGAAGAGAGAAACTCTTCCTTTTGTCTGTTACTATTTATGCTGTTTAGTGCAGTGGCTTTCAAATGGGGACAATTTTCACTTCTTTCCTTCCCCAACTCTTGGGGACATTTGTCAATGTTAGAGACATTTTTGGTTGTCATGATCAGAGGTGGGGGAGTCACTGACACTTCACAGGCTGACACCCCATGATCCATGGGATGGAGGCTGTCCAGATGTCAGCAATGCCCATCACTTGCATCTGTGCACTACAGTCCGTCCTTACTGAATTACAGTGGGGAATTTTCTTCTCCATGGGGAAGCCTCTCTGGGGTTACAGGTACTTCCTGTCTGTCCCCAGCAACTTTCTCCATCCCTGGCTGCGCTCATCCAACAAGTCGTTGCTGGGGACCCAGGGCAGCCCCCGCCAGTGTCTCTCCTACTCTTCTCTTACCTGTCCCACCCCAGTAGTCCTTATAACATAGCACACTGTGGCAAAGCTATTAGCAACACCCCCTGGGTGCCTGCCCACTCCCTGCTTGCAGCAAGAATGGACCATCCTCCTTTACGTTCCTCCTGGGCACTCCCTGTCATTTACCCTGTGTGCAGCCTAATGGTGGCCACTTGACCAGCTTTCATTAGGTGCCTCTCCTGCAGCCCAGCCAGAGTCACAGAGCAGAGCCTTCCCCACTAACCCAGACCATGCACACACCGGGGAGGGAGACAGATATCACCAAGATTGCACTGATTCCTGAGCTTACAGAGGCATCCCTAGCCCCAGCCACAGTGCAGTGTTGGGGACTGTGTTGCCACCTAACCTGGCAGGGGCAGCTGCCCAGCAGGCTAGCAGCCATGCAGACTGCTCCTCAGGGTGCTCGGGCACCCTGACCATACCAGAGTGCCAGGAACAGTGACCCCCCAGAACAGGAACATCAATAACGGACTCATCCTGGGCCTGACCTAAGAATCTATTTGAGAAACATAACCATCAGAAAAAGTGGCTTCAAATGATGCATTTCAAAAGTAAATATAATAGATATTGCAAATGAATGCTGCGTGTGAACTGGCTTGTGGATGAGAAGTTATGAATTAGTTATGAATACATAGACATTCCCACTATCCCCACTGCAAACCTTGAGGTCTCTCCTCTTCTTCCTCTATTGTCATCTCATGGAATGATGAAGCATTCAGAGAAGGGAAGAGGGAAGAATTATGACCCTATAATATTCTGCTCGAGCCACCACAGCCAAGTAGCTGAGGGTGCTGCATGCTCACAGCTAAGATCAAGATGAGAGCAGAGCCAGGGTTCTAAATTCCCTCTCCTCGGCTCACAGATGGCACAGTCTCCCGGTGTCATCACCTGGCTGTGCATGTGTGTTAATGTCTTGTCGGCTGTCTTGTTGGGCAGGAGCCACACCTAGTAACTTAACCTGGCCACAATCAGCCATGCACTGAGAATTCCACTGCCCTGTGGGGAACACAGTGCCACCAAGAATACCCTCTTTCTCCAGGCTTAAAAGGGCCTAAAAGGGGAATGTGTTAGCAGAACTAGAGGGTACTGCATGGAAACAGAAGCTTCTGTCCTGGTGCTGGGGACTGCAGCCCTCGGTGAACTTCCTGGGTTAAAACAGTGTGGACCCTGGTTAGCAAGGCTGCATGCCTCAGCCTGCACGGTGCTCCTAGCATGAAGTTACCCAAGGGACTCGAGTCAGTGTTATCCAGGATTGACTCCCACTCCACCCCACCCTACCCCTGCCCTTGACAAGGGATTTGTAATTGGCTTGAGATGAGGTCTAAGTGCCAGGATGTGCTTTCTGCTTCCCACTGGAGCTTGGACCGTGACTAGGGGGGCTGGTCTCCCTTCTGTTCATCCGACACTGTGTGCTGTTTGTCTCCCCAGGAGCCCGAGCGGCAGTACATGCACATCGGCACCATGGTGGAGTTTGCCTTTGCCCTCGTTGCCAAACTGGATGCCATCAACAAACACTCCTTCAATGACTTCAAGCTGCGAGTAGGTAGGTTGCAGGGAAGGCATGGAATACGGAACTGCATCATGGGTCGCTGCTGCTGTGTTGGAATGGCACCGCTCCCATGTTCTTTTTCTGGTGGCAGGACTGGACTGCAGATAAGAGGACTCAGGCAAGCTGTGAACCCCTAAGGCTCAAGATTGGAAAGAAAAACCAGAGATACTCCCTTGACTTGGGCCCAGTTGTTGGTGGGAGCTTGTCTGGGTTTCTCTCCCCAAAGTCCCTGTCCCTCAGGCCAAGGTCCTGCCCACAAGCCACCATGTGCCGCCTCCAGCTGTCCTGAGCTGTAAGTCATCTAAAGAGAGCACTCCATGAAGTTGCCCAAGATTGCCAAGAAGTTTGGCACTTGGAGTTCAGCCTTTCAGAAACACCCTTGTTAGTGCAGTTGGACTCCTTCAGTATGGTGTGCATCCTGGATCCAGAAGGAAGTGCAGAGCCCGGACAGTTGGTGACCAATGCCTCTCAGTTACCTGTGTTTCTCTATGGTTCTCCATGAACACCCTCCCCTAACTGTGGGTATGTGAGTCTGAATCATTGCCACAGGGAGGCATCCTTCCTGTTGGTTTGTGCTGACCAATCAGCAATGTTGATCAGATGTTGAAGCGTCTGCCCCTGGTGGCGGGTGCCACACCCACCTCCCACCCAGCATGTCCTCGTGCACCTCAGCCCCAGGTGTAAATACACAGTGACTGTTGTTTGAGGATGGAATGGCTGGGCTGATGGATGTGAGCCCAGTCCCTGTTCCACTTATCCTTAGCAGTGACCAGGGTGTCTGGTTGGTTGTGTGGAGAACTGAGGTATACAGATGCCAGCAAGAGACACCCACATGAATTCCTATGCTGCCCTTCTGTTCAGTCTCCTTGGAGAACTGCAGTCTGGGAGGCGGTTTCCACCAAAGACAGGATGCTACTTGCCCTGATGTGTGCAGGGCATGAAGCCCAAAGTTACGGGGGTTGAGCACCCCAGCAGCAGGACCAGAAGTGGAACAGCCAGGACTCGACTCTGGTGCCCATATGGGATGCCAATACTGAGGCAAGGCTTAGCCTGCTTCGCCATGTCCCCAGACCCGAGATTCTTTAATGCTTAAAAACCTGTCCACAGCAGCAGTACATATTAAGGGAATCCATCAAGAGGTGGTTTATCAATGGAAATTGCCACCATAGCCATATGTGAGGATCTAAAAAGTATAAGGAAAATTGAGTTAAAAGATAAAATTTAGAGACCAGCATGGTGGCACAGAAAGCTAAGCTGCCACTGCAGTGCCAACATACCATTTGAGTAGGGATTTGAGTTGCAGCTGCTCTATTTCCAGTGGAACTCCTGCTAATGCACCCTGGGAAAGATGCAGACATAGCTCAGATGCTTGGGCCCTTGCCAACCATGTGAATTGAACTTCAGATGGAATTCCAGGCTCCTGACTTCTGCCTGGTCCAACCTTGACTGTTGCAGCTACAGGGGATTAAACTGCAAGATGGAAGGTGTGGGGGGGGGAGGGGTAGGTGGGAGGAACTCTGCATTTCAAATAAAATTTTAAATTTTGGTACAAAACGTTTTGAAATATATGTAAGGAAGTCTTCAGAAAATTAGTGGAAAATCCATGCTATGCATTTCAAAGCTTTTTGCACCAAAATATTTTACTGTGATTTTCCTCGTGGGCTTTTGCACGTTCTCCCCTGTGCCTGCTGAGTTCAGTAGTTCCAGTGGGAAGCTGTCACAGGCAACAGCCCTGCAGGTGGGGACAGGAAGTCTGCAGGGAGTGTGTTCTCAGGAGCAGGCCCTCTGCAGCCACTCCCGGCAGGATGGCACCTGCAGAAGGAAAAGCCACGTGTGGCCCTTGAAGTGTGTACGTGTCAGAATGGCGCTGTCCTGCTACTGCTGTGCTGTGTGGTTGTATCACTCCATTTGGCTGGATGCAGGAGTGAACCCAAGTCCAACAGTCAAGTGCATTCAGCGTAGCCAGTTATAATTAAAGGTCTACTTCGGAATGCATATGGAGACTGCAAAGCTGTTGCAAAACAATGATCATCTCTAGACTGACTGTCCAGCAACAGGGGAAATGGTTGTACCATCAAAGAATGACCAAGGATGCATAAATAGGATTCAAGGTCTAGGTTAAAGAACAGGGTGAACATTTTTGCATGTTTGAGATGGTGACATGAGTGGCAGTAGGTCTCCTGAGTCGAGCTCACGTTTAATAATGACTCAGCAATGGATTCCTCAGACGTGCCTGCTGCAGCCAGTTTCTGCAAACTGAGTCTTGTTAATTCCCATGCCACAGGAATTAACCATGGACCTGTGATAGCTGGCGTCATCGGAGCCCAGAAGCCACAGTACGACATCTGGGGCAACACGGTCAACGTGGCCAGCAGGATGGACAGCACCGGGGTCCTGGACAAGATCCAGGTGAGTGCATCTTCACGGCTGTCCTAGGCCATGTCTGTCTTGGGAACTGAAAAGTAGTATGCACATAGTAACTATACAAACACACAGGAAACAAAGTCTGCTATGAAGCTTACTGAAATCTTATTATTGGTGAAATGTAAGTTTCTGCAGTAGCTGTTGACAACAATATTTTTTTTAAAGATTTGTTTTTACTTGAAAGGCAAATTTAAAGACAGAAGGAGAGAAAGAGATCTTCCATCTACTGGCTCATTCCCCAGATGGCCATAATGGCTGGGTATTGGCCAAAGCCAGGAGCTTCTTCCAGAGGGTAGGAAAATTTGAAATCCATGGAATTTAAGATATAAAAAAACAAAAACTTTAATTATGGTCTGGAAATTTTACACAAACTTAAGGTTATCTTCTTGCCATCCTGCAACTGAAATCCTTAGCTACTTAAGGATATAATCTGATTGAATTGACCATTTTCTAACAGAAGTCATGCCACAACACATAGCATGCCAATGTATTATCTGTCTCCTACAGAGGAATAATTTTGTCCAATAACACAGTCAGGGTTTTTGCTGAAGTGTGGGGCTACCTAAGTTGTGTGTACATTACTTGGCTTCAGAATTTTAGTTTCATTGCTGAAACTTAGGGGAAATGAAGACACCACTGAGTGACAACTCGGTGAGCTGGGCATGGCACCTGCTGGGCGTGGCACCAGGCCCTCAGAAGAGATGCTACATTGCAGAAGGTACATGGAGGTTTTCTTGTGTGTGAACTCTATACGGCCTCATCCTCAAACAGTAGAGGTGTTAAACTTGACCCCATTGTGTTGTATTCTGGAAAGCAAAATCCACTTAATGGCAAGTTTGTATGAAAACCAGCAGACCCACATAATGACTTAGTCATCTCTTGGGGACTGTGCTGAGTCTCTAGCCTGGGTATCCCAGCTGGGTGAAGACCTAATAACCCTGCCTGCTAACATCATTATGGCCTTGTTCAATCCTTTACTTCTGCAAAAGGGCATCCCCTCTGAAGTCGTCAGGCTTACTCCACCTCATGCATGCCAACCCATTTCTGGGGCCATGCTAAAGGACAGCCTCTGCATGGGATGGAACAAGCCTCACTTCTAAGCACTGGCCATCTTCTGCCCAGATTAGTCAGCAGACATCTGGCAGAAGGCAGAGACAATACAGTTATAAAAAGGAGAGTGAATTACCCAAGTTCTCTTACCCAAAATTGGTGATGGCCAAGGCTCTGCTCCCAAGGTCACTGAGGGAGTGGACATGTCTGCGCTGGCTGATCTCCCCACTGCCTGACAGGCTGAGCTGGGATTCTCCAGCTGGAGGCTGTGGCCACGGATGACTGTCTTGTCCAGAAGAGTGGGCAGTAACCTTGGCAGCCTATTGCTGTTGGCACCAGTGCTTTGAGTAGTGCCTGCACAAGCATTGCTAGCCACTTACCATGTCAGGAATGCTCTAGCAAACCTGAGCCACCAAGGATGCTGCTGAGGGACACCCAGCCTTGCCCTTTGCACTTGTCCAAAGTCAAGTGCACTGGCTGGCCTGCATACGCTCACTTAATTCAGTGGCTAGAAAGTGCACATCCCAGCAAGCGTCCTTCTGCCAGCTAGTATGGCTCATTTTTGCTACAAGTAGCCTTTCATTTCTATTTGTGTGCAGCAAGAAAGAAAATATGGGGGTGCCCTGGGGGGATAGGGGAGGCTGTGGAGACCAGGAAACCATTGCTCCCAGACCTGAAAAAGGGGCTCTTGTCATTAGACAGCATTGCATCTCCAGTGTGATTCCCAGCCTGCAAATGCAGAGGCCAGCCTGGAAACCCACTGGATGCCCAGCAGGCATTCATGCCATGCTGGGTGCTTTGTGGCTTGGTGTTAACCAATACCAGTGGATAGTTCAAACATGCCCGCAATGGTTCCCAGCATTCATTAGCAGCACAGCTGGACAGTCAGCCCCCAGAGGCTATCTTGGGTCTGTGTTTAGGTGGTCACACATCAGCTGTGTGTGAAATGCTCTGACAGCCCCTAAGAGAAATCCTTGCTCATGGAAAGCGACTGTAGTTCTGTTCCTGGGCTAAGACCATGTTCTTCTCTTGGTTCTCACCCAGTCCTCAAAGCCTCCCTGTGTCCTGTCAGGCCCTGCCTGCCCGGGGGGCGTTACCCCAGCTTGGGCTCAGGACACAGCACCTGGAACCCACCTCCACAGTCCTCCTCCTGCTCACATCAGAGGGGTCTGCAGGACCCCCAGTACTAGTGACTAGCCCTGGATCAAGACTGCTCTCTCCTTCCTTAAGACCTAGAAATCTCCTGGGGAGTCAGGATGCTGCCTTCACACTCAGCCCTCCCTTCTGTGTCTCACCCAGATTCTGCTTGCAGAAAGGTCTGATTCAGGAGGCCCCTCAAATCCATTAGCAGGCTGGACACAGGCAGGTGGGGCCTTGGTCCTCAACATGATCTCACATTGAGGGCACATCCCATGTGCAGCCCAGACAGTGCACGGCTCAGCCAAGACTATGCAGCTCCACTTGGAGACCGGCAAGGCGCATGGGCTGAGCATCAGGTCACCATCCTGACTCCCCAGCCTTCTGGGTCCTAGAACCCCCCACTCCCAGCCTGTGATGGTTGCTGCCATCTGGGTGCAGGTCCTAAGGCAGCTGGGGGCCTTACCCAGCGTGCAATGGCAGAAAGCCAAGCATCTCAGCGCAGCTACAGGTGTGACCAGGGGCTCCCTCCTATGCATCCCAAGTCAGTGACAAGAGGGAACCTCTTTAAAATGTTTGAAGACAAAGTGAGGAAGGCAGATGGACAGAGCAAGCTCCCAGACCCTGGCTCCCTTCCCAGATCTCACAGTGACCTTGCTGGCCACATCCAGGAACTGGATACTCAATCTTAGTCTCCCATGTGAGTGGCAGGGACCTGATGCATCCCAGGGTGGCCACATCTAGAATCAGCAGCAGAGCTGGCACCTGAACCTAGATCTTCCTAAACAGGACACGGGTGACCCCATTACTGGCTTAACTACTGTGACAGACACCCCTCCACACACACACATAGTAAGGGGACCTTTAACGTGGTGGGGAGCATCAGACGCTTGCTAGTGCCCAAAGGGTTCCTTACAGCTCACGTTACCCATGTGCAGAAACCTGAAAGACGTGGCCAGTCGCAGGAGTCGACTGGGCTTCTCAGTGTGTCTCCCTTTATTTATACCTGCTATTAATATCTGATTTCATAAAATGACATTTATGGTCATCTGTAAACATCTAAAATAGTACAGCTGCAAAATATTTTGGCTTTCTTTTAGCCAAGTCTCCTGCAAGTTAAAGGCAGGTGAGGCCAGGTTCTCTGAGGATTGTAGCCCCATCTAGTGGCTAGCCATGGCAGTACTCACCCTGCACAAGACTTGACTGCACTAAACGTCATTGTCCTCAAACCTGACTTTGGTAAGAGAAGATTCCCTACTGGATTTCTCAGGAGCAGAGTGGCCAGGGGCTCCTCCTCCTTTACCTGGACTGCACGATGGCCTAGGGTGCTAACCACGCTCTCCTGTAGGTCACGGAGGAGACCAGCCTCATCCTGCAGACGCTGGGGTACACGTGCACGTGCCGCGGGATCATCAACGTGAAGGGGAAGGGGGACCTGAAGACGTACTTCGTGAGCACAGAAATGTCACGATCCCTTTCCCAGAGCAACGTGGCATCCTGAAGGGTGGCCTGCATCCCCAGTGAGGGAAGAGCGACCCCCAGAAGGTACCACGCACTCCCGGACTGCGCCTTGGGGCCCTCGTTTTTGGTGTGGGTGTCCTGTCCCATCCTCCGGGTCCTCGCGGACTTGTCTCTGTGACCCATACTGTCCCACGTCTGCCCCATCGTCCTGCCACTTGCACTGTGCTTACTCCCGAACAAGAAGGACAGAAGGACGCATGGTGGAGGAAGAGCATCCAAAGAGAACGTGAAACACACCACTCGAGGCAATAAAACTAGGGGTGTACAGTATCTTCTGGCGCATGTTCCGCCCACCCACCACCTCCACGAGTGCGCTTCAGACCCACAGTATTTGTCTCCCCCGCCCCTACCTCGTGCGGTCCGTGGTCCTCCCCGTGTCTCACCGCCACCTGTGACCCGCGGCCCTCGTCACCCTGGCTCTGTGTGTCCAGCCAGCAGCATGTTGCCATCATCAACAGAATCAGTCCTCACAGCCTAGGACAGTTTTGTACCAAACTTGTCTGATGTTTTAATGCCATTTGTCTTTTGTAAGGTTAACTCATTAAAAGTTTTACGTACTTTGGGTTAGAGTGCCTGCGTCCTTTCCTGAAAGAACCTGCTCACAGCCAACATGGAGGCATCCTCATGGAGCTGAGATGGGACAGAGCCAGTGATGTCATTCGCTAATAGCGCATACGTGCTGTGTCTCAGACTCGTTTTCATGACATCTCTAGAAAGCATTTCTGGGAAAATTCATAGTAAAGAGCTTGTCCAGGAGCTAGAACAGCGCCTGCTGTCCGTGCTGCTCCCTCTGCAGCAACACAGTGCTGGGGCTGTAAGGTGCAGACTGCACAGTCATCCAGACCCACCAGCCCAACTTAATCACAACATGGAGTCCCACTCACCGGCTACACTTGAGGAGTCTGAGAAAACTGGAAACCAAGGCTTATGTGGGTTTTTTTTTTAAGTTGAAAGGCCTGCAAGAATTTATTCCTACAGCCCAACAAAGGCACCTGTTTCTTTCCAAATTAAGAACTCAGTGCCAAACAAGGTGGCAGTTATACATGATCTGATGCTTAAAAGCAAAACTGTCAATCCCAGCGGGGTTGGTCTCCAGCTAGATCAGCAGCACCTAGGAGGAGGAGGGGCAGCTGATCTGGCAGGAAACGCTTGCTGGTGGGACCTCAAGTACACGCTGCTGCTGGAGTCCTGGCCTGCTGCCAGCCAGTGGCCTGGAACACGGGCACTGCCTTGCCTGGCAGCTGGAGGAGCTGGGTTGTTATTAAATGGGCTCATGAGCATGAGAACCAGCAGGTGCCTGGCCTGCTCCTGCCAGCTCATTCCCAGCATGGGCACAGCCACCATGCCCTGCAGGACTAGCTCCTGGGGACAGAGTGTAGCCTGTCCAGGGGTTCACCCCAGTGGACATTGGGATCCTGTAAATCACAATTTTGCACTGATCCGAATACACTGAGAGCTCCAGAAAGTTGATAAGCAGTCAGATACTTACCTTTCCTCCAGTGGAATTCGAGCTCAGTGTGCCATAGGGATGCCGTGATTGCATTTAAATCCTGTAGCTGTGGTCAACAGGAGCACCTGGTGGCTCTTGCCTGCCCCCACATCCCTGAGGTAAGAATAGAACTTAGGAGCAACCAGAGACACTGTCAGGGCCACCTGGCCGTGTGCTCCGTGTCCCCGGGCAGAGGCACTGTCAGGGCTACCTGCCCACAAACTCCGTGTCCCCGGGAAGACACACCATCAGGGCTACCTGCCCACGAACTCCGTGTCCCCAGGCAGAGGCATTGTCAGGGCTACCTGGTCATGTGCTCTGTGTTCCCGGACAGCATTGTTGGCATCAGCTGGCAGTCGGCAATGCAGGCTTGGGTCTTACCCAACTTCACCACCTGAGAACCCTGGCACTGTGCCACACGATTCCTCCAGGTGATTCCAGTCCACACACAGGAGGAAATGGGTGCAGAGATATTCAGGCGCTTGTTCCAGGTTTCCTGATTGAGCCGTGGCTGAGGCAACACTGGGATGGAAGCAGCCCAATTTCTAAAGTCTGACACGGACTCGTTTCTGATGGGAGCACTAAGCTCTAAGCAATGGGAAACATGCTACATGCAAGCCATCCAGCAGCCGGCCTCCCTGGCCCCTGGCATGAGGGGAGCCCCTGCCAGGAGCTCTCCTCACCCACAAAGCCTGCAGGACACCTTCAGCTGTGAAAAGCACCTGCCCTCCAAGCCCCTTAAAATACAAGGATTAGGCCTGGCAGCATGGCCTACTGGCTAAAGTCCTCGCCTTGAACACGCCGGGATCCCATATGGGTGCCGGTTCTAATCCCGGCAGCCCCACTTCCCATCCAGCTCCCTGCTTGTGCCCTGGGAAAGCAGTCCAGGACAGCCCAAAGCTTTGGGACCCTGCACCTGTGTGGGAGACCCGGAAGAGGTTCCTGGTTCCTGGCTTCGGATTGGCGCAGCACCAGCTGTTGCGCTCACTTGGGGAGTGAATCATCGGACAGAAGATCTTCCTCTCTGTCTCTCCGCCCCTCTGTATATCTGACTTTCCAATAAATAAATAAATCTTAAAAAAAAAATGCCAGGATTTTCCTGGGCCTGTCCAGAAAGGCCCAAGTTTGTCATCGAGCCCACGGGATTCTTCAGTATCAACTCCGTGGGCTTTCTCCAAAGCAGCCGCCAGTCTGCTTTCTTCTGCTACAGATGCAAGGGGGCTCCAATTAGTTCCTGGGAAGTGGAGTTAAAGGATAAGATTAGTTCAACATCAAAAGCTTTTAAAAATCCATAATTTGTTCTTCCCATAACAAGCATTTTCTATGGACTTGAATCCCCCTTGGGAGGTTTCATCACGAGTTCTCAGCCACCAGTGGAAATCTGATAAAACCCCCTTTATTCACGCAGCAATATGTTCTCTCACATGCCTTTAACAGGCACTCATTAACTGGCTCTGACTTGAAAATGTCAGGATGCAGAGAGAAGTGAAGTGTGCGCGATCCTCCCCTGCTGCCTGACCGTCCTCAGAGCTGCACCCTCCCCTGCCCCAGGCCAGGCAGCCGCTAAGGGAGCCACCTTCAAGTGACATCATTTACAGCCACGCGTCTCCTCTTCTCGAAAACTGGACTGAATACAGACATCTGCAACCCCAATTTTGTTTCCTGTTACATTATTATAAATGTAGCAAAATGTATCCAAAAACATGCCAAGCAAACTACTTGAGGGCATTTACAAAAACATAAGACACCTACGCTGAAACTGGGGGCAAAATCAAACAGATCTTTCAGAGTCACTCAGCTTCGAAGTTGCCAGCCGTTCTGCGTCAGGTGTCCCCAAGGATCCTCTCTGCGGAGTCGAAAGAGTCAAACCCGGGCTGGAGGGATCAGCATTGAAGTTAATTGGATCCCTGCCCATTAACTGCTCAACTGTGGGAAACTCACAGTACAGGTGACTTCTTCCGAGGGACTCTCCATCGAAAGCATGGCGGGTACCTCAACACTCGATCAGCTTTCAGACGATCCCTAAACACTTCCCAGGTAGCAAGCGGCGGCTGTCTGAAAAGACAGCTGTTCCAAGTCACACTGCTGCAGCTCCTCGGAGCTGGGCGGATGGTCACAAACTGCCCTAGATACACACTGCTTCTGCCCGCTCCACACACACCCCTCAGATGGGAAGCTCCACCCTCAAGAGGGGGAAATGCCTCCTCAAAGAGATGGAAGGGTTTGCTCCAGAAAACACTGGACCTCTGGGAAAACAAATGTTCCAGAGTTCAAAAGTGTACGGGCAGTTGCCTCTTGGCACCTCGTCTCAGAGGAAAGGAAATATAAGGGCTGCTTGTGGGCAGGCACTGGCCGTTATCAGCACTGAAAAGAAAAAGTAACTGAATGCCAAATTCCTGTGACCACCTCCTCCCCAAGGCTCCCTGGTGGGCAGAGAACCAGTGAACAGAGACCAAGCCCACCACTGAGACCACCTCCTCCCCCAAGATTCCCTTGTGGGCAGAGAACCAGTGAACAGAGACCAGCCCCACCAGATGCAAGTGGAACCAAGTTCTCATTTTATTCCGGTGCTCACAGCAGTGACTCAGTCTTGACTGTTACTGAATCTGAAGTAACAGCAGGTGCCACTCACCATGCGGGAAGAAGTTCTGAGTATGTTTAAAGATGTGTGCTTGGGTTTTTAAGCAAGGCATCCCTAAGATCTCCTTGTGACCTAGGAGTCAAAAGCAGAAGTTGACAGGGCCCCTGCCTGTGCAGCCTCCCTTTAGCAGGTACCACGCTGTGCTGGGGGCTGCAGGGGTGATTCAGGCTGGCGTGATGTGCCCGAAGCCGGGCGCTTTGATGCTGGGGATGTCATTCTTCCTGTAGAAGTCGGCCTGCACATAGTTGGCACGGCGGAAGTCCCGGTTCACTGGCTCCACCGGCTGGTGGATGCGCCTCCCATAGACAGAGGACGTCAGTACTCCCACGGGCCTCTCTTGTTCCTGGGGACATCAGCAAAACGACTAAGTCAGCATGTAGGGGACCTCAGCACAGTGGACCACCTGCCCTGCCCTGCCCTGCCCTGCCCGGGTCCCACCCTCCATGGGCAAAGTCATTGCCTGCATCCCTGTGTGCGGCTTCTTCCCAGCCGTCACTGGGCTCTCCACGCTGACACCAGAGCCACGCCTGGAAGAGCTTACATCCTGCTCCCTCCATCCAATGTCCCAGGGAAGGCATCAGAGGCCCTGGGTGCCTGGTACCCTCCCACTGCAGATCCAGGCCCCGCCCCTACACTCCTCCCTCCTGACCCTCCTGCCTAGGCCTGCCTTCTCTGCTCCCTGACCCCCCCCCCCCCCGGTCTCCAGCACTGTCCTCTTTCACATCTCCCATGTGTATGTCTGTGCCCTATGTCCATGCCCTCGTGTGCCCATCTCTCTGCCTCTCTCTGAACCCCCCTCCCTCCGCCCTGTCTGTCTCTCTGTCTCCACCTGTTCCTCGGCGTCCCCCTCTGTACCTCTGTCCCTGTGTGTCTCTGGCTCTGCTCCCTCTCTGCCCTCTCTGTCCCCCTACGTGTCTGTCTCTACATGCATCTCTGCGCCCCTTTCTCTTGTATCTGTGTGTGCTTCCGGCTCTCTGGCCTTGCCCCTCTCCCTCTGCATCTCTCTGCTTCTGTCTCCCCCCGACCCCCGCCGTGCCCCCACACCTCCTGTTTCTGTGTGTTTGTTTCTCTGGCTCTATATCTCTTTTCCTCTGTCCTTCAACTGTGTGTGTGTCTCTGTCCCTCTGTACCCTTCTCTTTGTGTCACTGTCTCTTTCTCCATGTGTGTGTCATTCTGCTCCGTGTGTCCCTGCCCCCAGATACTCACAGTAGCACTTTCCCAGCCCCTGGGCCTTTCTTCCATCCCGTTCCCCTTGCTGGTCACCTGTCTGCTCCCATTGCCGCCCAGTGTCTCACACCATGCCAGCTGCCATGCCAAAGTTGCATTCCTCCCTGGTGTCACACTGTGCTCAAAAACCTCTGACCTGTGCAGTGTTTTGGACTTGGGGTCGTACGATGAGGATGCTCTCTACCCTGCATCTCGCTAACATGT